ATAAGAGATCGCTTGAAGATTTAACTTGATATTGGCAAATGCTGTCCTAGCTATGTTTCAATACGTTGTTGCCTGTGCTCTGGATGTATGTTCAACGTTCATTCCATGAACTCCGTCTTTCCTTTGCAAAGTCATCTGTATACCGTGCATCAACATCATTCGCATGTGATATCTAACTTTGGTCATGTGGGAAAACGATTTGTTTGTACCCGCCGAATTGTCTTTGTCTTCAAGGAGGTCATATCTTCAATATTAGTTCCAAAGCGGTCATGGTCTTCGCAAAACTGACAAACGCGTTCATCTGTGGTATGTACCACTTTCGGCGTTCATACATTCTGTCAGCACTTGTATTCGCCAACTTATATAGACGGGAAATACAAGGCAGCATGTCAGCTTTAGGTCCTGTCCAGATATTGTCTGCTAACGTTTTAGAAATAAATAACATTTAAACAGCACCATGTCCTTCTTATGGTGAGAGGCAAGGTAGGACACCACAGCCTGTTCGCGAAAAGGGTAAGCAAGTTCTGCTTTACCAATAGCACCTGCCACTCACAAACCTTTTAAGAGCTTTTCTGTTACAAGTGAAAAATGTCCTATTGGGTTTGAACCCATGCCCCAAGAGCTATTCATTCGAATGTTTTCTTGAGCAAATCTTGGAACTCGTTTAACAGTAGATCTACTTGCAGGATTTTCTCTTAATTGAGGGGCTTTAAACTACAGTTTTTTAATTATAATTTGTGGCATATTAAGACTGTTCCGCTGAATGTCAAGTACCATAAAATGTATTTATATCGAATTAAAAGGTTGAATCAAAATATGTGTTTCACAAACCGTGAAAGTAGAAACTAATAACGGTCTCACTGCAAATTTACACAACGGACAATTTCACTTATTTCATTTCGGTAACCGATGCCAGAATAATCGAACAGTGAAACATGACTGAAAACTCACAAAGCTTAAGGTCTTGGATTAACCTGAGAGAAAAGCTAAGCTAAGTTAAACCCTTGACATTTACCAAGTATTTGCAACACGTTCTATTCATAGATTCAACTGTAACATTCTCATCTTCTCTTTACTGTAAACATCATATCTGTTTTTATAGTGATTTATGAATAGTTATGTTGTATTATTTCAAGAATGCAATTGCTATGCTAAGGTTTGCCCTCACATGACACTACTTCTTCTTGACATCTAACTCTTCAGGGCATAAAACAGATTTCACTCGACATATTCCGCTTTTGAGTTCAAGCCTATTAAGTGTGATCCCCCTATTAATATGCTGTTGAGATCACAGCTTTTTTATGATTTGAATATATACCTTGCACAACCTCAAATCGATATTTATGAAGACTGTTTTTCAAATCACCATAACGATATACTGGAACCAACGGTTATGTATGTATACTTCAGAATATTATATTAAGCCTCCCCTCATTAATATCGTGATGGTTTCGACGAATATTAATATAATTGTTCAAAATGAACCCTGCTCAGCTTTTCGAAAACACCTGGTACCATCGCAATTTGATAATAGTTCTTGAATATAAAACGTCAACGCCAGAGAATAATCAGTCTCTGTTATCTGCCGAAACAGATTCCATGAGGTGTTATAGGCAAACTGGCGGTGAAAATATATGGCTCACTGAAAATGAGTGATGACACCGGGTGTTCGCAACAAGGGCAAGCATGTCCTGCCCTACCAGCCGCCACTCACACAATTTGCTTAAAGAAGTAGGTGTTTGTTTGTTGCATGATGATGTAATCGGAATCGTCTGATGGATTCTGCTTTTGGCAAATAATTTTTGTGACTTCTGAAAGAGTTTTATGTTTACATTCCTTGAACCTTCTGCTCATGTTTTCCTGTTCTGATCACAATTATCGTTTTTTAAGGGAAGCACGAAATGAAAAACAAATGTTGTCCTCAGGCACCCTTGAAAAATGTATTTGGCTTTGGTTTCCACCTGCGTCACTTTAAAAACAGGGTCAGGAGCTGTTATCTCCAAGAACCGTTTTGTGGCATGGTGGTTGTGCTGCTATGACAGGTAAAGAAAGAAAGTAGGTACATTCGTCAAGCAAAAGAGAAGCTGAAAGAAACTAGATCTTTTTAACCACTTGATTTAATTGTCACCTGACTGCAGTCCACATACCAATAAAGTTCAGCCTTCTTTTGACAGCTTTACCAATCAGATTAACAGACCCTGCCGAGGCACGCCTGCTTTGGAAGCAGTCCACGCTTTACAATTAATAAACTCTCTACAAAATTCTTATTCCTATTCTATTTATCGACACTAGTGTAAAAGTCTAAACTGTTTCAATTATGATACTTAACAATAAGTTTCTTTTATTCTTTAAGGTGTCATTTTACATCTTAATTTGGTCAAACGGAGACTGTCCTAGTCTATCATAAACCAAGTATACCTACTATATTTTTAGAGAAAACAATATTTTTCAAATTACAAAATGTATGTGTGGTTTTCGTACTACTCTTTCTTTGGAATTCATACGTGTTACAGTGCCTCCTTGGGTGTAGTTAGTTACTAGTTGGTTGGATCTTCTGCTTGGGGAATGTGGAACCTACTCGACTCCTACTTGACAACAAAAAGAATATTGCTTGCATTTTCTCGAGTACTCTTGCGTTATATGTAGCACCAATATAACTAACAACGAAACACCTTAGGCCTTTATCATATCATAACATTTTTGCATACCTTATGTTTGATTGGACGTGGGGCAAGTTATATCAAATACATCAAACGAGGTATTGCATAGTCGATGATATTTACATGAGTGGTACATCATCTCAATGATGGAATACTAGGGTATTAACAATATTTGCTCTTCTAATCAGTGCAGGAAGAGCCACAGAAAGAGTAGGATATCATAGATTGAACTTTAAAACAGTGAAGGAAGTTGAGACATAAAATTGGATATTCATACGCGTTGCACGTCTATCAATGACGGGAGAGGACCGTGAAGTCAGTTGTTAGCATCAGGTACCACAATGCGTGTTTGGAAACTGTTTTGAAAACTATCCTTTGATGTACATTGTGTTTTATTGTGGGACCCCAGACTGTTAAATCATGAACAGTACTTTCAGCGACAATTGTACGTTTCACAGGGAAATATGTACGCATGTGAACAATATAATCAAAGCATGTTTCTTTTGTATTAATTTGGTTATACGAACACCTACCAGATGGTATGACATTCCAATCAAAAATATCTTCTCCGAAAAACAATAGGCTATCGCCAATCAACATCGACATGTGCACTCTTAAAGTTACTTTGTCTCTCAAGGACTATCTCATCTGATGTTACTATGATTGCAACCATTAATGTCGACATAATCTATCCTTGGATACCCCTCCGGTCTGACACCAAGTGGGGCAATATTTGAATTTAACTCTTGACGTCATCCCGATGGGAAAACAACACTTGCAGAAAATCCAGGTCTTCTCGAAATAGTTCATAAATCGGATTACCGTCACCACACCTGCGTCTTACGCCTTCTCGTATAGTTACTGTAATCCATAGGGTTAATTCTGATGTTAGGTGGCGGAGGGAACGGAGGGCTTGTATTGTTGGAGTTTATGGACAGCAATGGACATCTATATGGGATAGTCTGGACAACAAACGTCGATCATGGACTCTGATACGAAAACAGGCATACATCTTTGGTTCATTTTCACATATTGTTAGTTGTTGATTCCCAAGTTGAAACGCGAAGGCTAACCCAGAAATCGGCACGTACAGAACTAAATTGTGAAATCAGTAAATAACCAAAACAAGATCAATAAAAATCAACACATTAGATTGAAATACACAGGTCAAGGGTTGCAGTCATACAATGCAATGCGACAAGTCAAAATTTGTAGCAGCAGCAACTACATGATAGGCCTTAATATAAAAGCTGTTACGCTCACGAATGTCTAGTATTTATCACAGCTGAGTGATTTCAATGAGACATGTGCTCCATTCTTGAATCCTGGAATCAGCGTTTGAAACAGGCAGAAAGGTCGGTGTATTCCGTCAGGTATCCGTCCGCTTTTGCTAGGTCGAGGAGACGCAAGTCAGGTCGAAGAAGGAAGGCCTCGAATCGTACTCGCGCGTACATAGGAACAACCAGCCTTCAAAAACTGCTGCTTCGAAGCGCCTCGAACAACGTAGTTTTCAAGAAGCTGATGATTGTAAACAAGTCAAACTCCACACAACGGAGGGTAAGAATGTGTCCAGCGCTGGGGCGGTGTTTAGACGATGTACACCTAAGGGGGGTCACGCTAAATAAAGGTCACTACCACAACGCAACATTGTACCAGCGCCTAACAACAATAACGCTGCCACATGCTATTATCAGAAATAAAGTGTCAGTATAAACTGCCATATAAGAAAATGTTGCAAAATATTGTGATGACGAAAATATCAGAGTTGATTGCAAATACGTATGTTTAAATGTCTCTGTATGAAACATGCCATGCATTAAGTTACTGACTGGGTGATAGTCGTTTATAAATTGTACAAATGTACAAACACGAGTTTTTGTTAAAAATAAAATTTAATATTCAACCGGTTTACAGAGGAACAATTAAATAATTTGTTCGGAAGGAACGTTTTTATCTCACATATGATTAGGGCACTTATTAGCTGACTGGAAATGCATAATTATAGCAAAACACTTAAAATTCGTAATAATGTGACAATGTGAAAAAAGACATTGTTCATTTCGACAACACTTGATATATATTATAGATATAGTTAAAATGTGGGTGATTTTAGAAGATTTTGACCCGAGCTGAGTTTCTTGCCCACACTTGGATATCTTTGTTACTTATTTAATTCATTCTGTAAATCTCTGATTTTAATACAAATACTTCTGCAACTTAATAATTTGGCATTTCCAGTGGTCCAAAAAGGGCCCTTATTCTTCTTTGTCCTCAAACATCTTTAGAATGCGTAATCTACAGCCACTTAGGCCGTCTTATCACAGTGAACGGAGAAACCAGATAACGCCAGAATGACATGTCTGTTTCGTGACTATCAGGAAGGCATGGAGTCACTTGTGCTAGGCATTTTCATCGCCTGCGTTAGCCTACAGCTGTCAGAGGGGCTACACAAACGTGAGCTAATTACAGGAGACATCTGTCTATCGTTGAAGTTTCGTATGCTGATAAGTTTTTAATGATTGAAACTTTCTGCAGGGGACATGGGTCTCGTTTAAACTGAAAGCAACAATATGTCAAAGATGGACGGTGTGATGTGATCTCAGCCTGCCAAACGAGACTCCCCTCGTTTACATTTAAACCGTTACTTTAAGACAGGTTTTACGCCGTCTCATATCTGACATATAGCTGAGTGCAGCGTTAAACACCTTCTATACATAAATAGGCAGGTTTTGCAATGCGCTCCTTCTTGAAGCGGGATTCTGTACATGGATGTTATAGTTCCTATGTCCAGACTAGGCCCGGACATGTTAATTTGCGCCATGTGTGAAATTGAGACACTATTTGTGTTTCTTTTTAGTAATTAACTAATAGATTGATATCAACTACATGTATGGTGTTGAATGACTAAAATCAAACCTGGTCGTACTGGCAGTTTGTCTGAGCCTCAATATCTTGTGCTGTAAATGGTTTTTGTACAGCTGAAACTCGTTAAAGGACAACTTGTCTCTCACTAAAGTCACACCAACAACTCGTCATGCCGATGGTAAGGGCAGAGTATAAGAGTACTATTCCTTTTACTAATTTAAAATTAAAAACCTCATACACAGTTATGACTCTTAGTACCATTGGGGACATTGAGCCTCTAATCGAGTATCTTTTGATATCAAATATGTCAAAACAAGTTGATACATGTTTAAACATATCCGATTTTAAATGTCAACAGGGGTCATTCTATGGTCTTCCAAAATCATTCGACCTATTTACGAAAATTTCAAAACAGTAATAATCAGTGTCTTTAGTGTAAAATGTACAGCTAACCAGATTGAGGGCCACTTGATATCACTTGTTTGTGACGCCATGGTAACCGATGGTATCATATGACGCCGACGACGCCTAAAGTCATACATTTCTATTTATATGTCACACGTATGGCATATCTTTATGCTTTTATTTGGCGTTATATATATTCTCTGCAACAACAATGCAATTGATCCATCTGTTATAGTTACTATTCCAAAATTTTGTAACAACGATGAAACGTATATGTCTGTAAAACACCTCACCCATATGTAACAACTGTATAACTGATACATCCATAACAAAACTATATTTGACAACAACCATATATACACATGTAACACCGTTTTAGTAATTCATCTGTGAAATCAATGGGTTTTGCCACACTGTAAATAACCCATCCTGTAAAAACAATGTGAAATATGGCTAGTTTTTTATCTATATTTATGACAAGGTGCGGCGATTAATAATGATTTCCCCAACGTGCATTAAAAACACGTTAATTTTATTACTGCGACTACACCCACCCCAGGGCCAAACTAAAAGAGACAGGAACGACAGCTTGAATCACTGTGGTAAGAAACTCAAAGTTGGGGAACTCGACCAACTAGAAGTGAAGACCAAACAAAAAGTCTAAATGATGGTGCAAGTTATGTCAACTTTTGTACAAAAAAAAGCGAGAATGCAGAAAATTGAGACAGCATATGTATATTCTTTGGCGTTGACGTTTTATATTTATATGGGCTAATTACAAATACCTGTAGATGTTCTCAATGAATGCCACCGGTGTATCATCTAGTCGCGACTAATGAGACCAAAGACCCAGGCCGACTTTGGGGGTTGCGTCCCTTATGCGTTACAGGATCTGCTGGTTATGCGTTCGAATCTTTCGAAACTTTCGTCCCGATTATGGCCTGTAAGCATCATTTCTGTGTTCTTTGTGTCCACCGAGATGGTAAACGTGTGCGTCGAATGTAGCTTTTTCTCCTTTGTTTCATTATTTTGCTGACAGTGAATTAAAGTTCCATGTTCTTTTCAACTTTTATATTTCTACGTGTGTAGAAGTATTATAATATTTGAAATAGTTTATCGACTATTTTATTACCTTGCATGCCATCCCAAAGTTGATATTGTTTAACCAGTCCTCATATGCCTTCAGGCTGAACCCCCCCCCCCCCTGAAACATTTCATACAGTGGTCACATTAAATGATCACCAGGAAATTATCCAGGTTAATATACCCAGACTCACTACATTCGCCAAAGAAGCATGCAAAAATCATGCTAGCAACATCTTTGTCTCCAATGCATTGCCATGGGAATGATGATAACTGTGAACGACGTCATCATGGGAAGACAAGACACGTCAGTAGCGCTCGAATTGCAGACATGAAACCTGGGGTTACATGCTTCAAAGGGTTACAAAGATCTAGACACACACAGTGTTATGGAACCGTTGATGTGAAATTGTTGAAAGGTCGTAAACATGTGGACGTACAAAAGACAGATCATTTAAGACTTACAGCTTTAAAGGATATATCCAAGCCAATACAAAATACAGGCTTAGTTTATGGTTATCACAAAGAGGTGGTCGAGCCGTTCGCAAACCCTTGAAAGCAACAGGCCTAAAAAGTTGTCGGCTATTGATTGGCATCACGATATGACTGCTAATCACAGACGTTTCAGGAAGGCGTGGACACGACGTCATAACGTCAGGCAGCTGTATCATCGACGTTACAACATGTTCAGCGACAAATCGAGGTCAATTATCGATTTAATGATGGCAAGAGTCGTGTTTGGAAACGTACCCATGAGCGCTACCTGCAGAACACCATATCACAGCAAGACCAACATGATGGTAGAGAGAGTAATTAAAATAAATAAATCCAAAATGTACAGAAACCTCCCGGAGGTTATGAAAGACGGTAAATATATAACGTCAACGTAAGAGATTAACCAACCGCGATTATTTGCCGAAACAGATTCCAGTGGGCGTAAAAGGCAAAATTGTGGTGAACATTTAAGGGACGGATGACAAAAAGACCGTCTTAATAATTGACTCATAGAGGTTCGGAATCGTAATGAGGCTTTGCTGCCAGGCGTGGTTCCATTAGTGTGTATGATTGGCCAACGTTTAGAACAAGATGACACCCGCCCATGCACAACTCGTGTGTCCATGGGTCATTTAAGTAATAAGAACATTCGGGTACTGTTTGGATCAGCTCCAAACTTCAACCTCTTTTAATATTTGTGGGATGAACGTGGACGTCGTTGTTACCAACGTCCTGTATCTTGGAACAACTCTTTGCAGCTTTGCTTCTGATTCCATGGGGAATCACACCTCGATACGGTGTGAGCAGTTGTCTGATTCTATGGGAGTCAGTTTTCACATTCACTCCCCATAGTGAGTGAGTGAGTGAGTTTGATTTAACGCCGCTTTTAACAATATCCCTGTTATATCACAGCGTGTCAGCTTAATGTGGAAGGAAATCCCGAAGTGATGCAGGTATCAGAAGTTTACCACTTCGGTGAAACCCACGAGCACGGGTATGGTGCTGACAAACCTGGAAACATAATCTGGGCGAACCGGGATTCGAACCCACAATCATATGTTTCTGGCGAGCCCAAGGGACGCAACTCTGCACAGCGAATCGCGGCGGCTTAAACGACTGGGCCACCCGTGCTAAAAATTATAATATACATCTAGTGATATATACATGTATAATTTCTGCTAAAAGAACTTTTTATTCATCAATGTCATTACCAAGAATCCGAAAGTGTAACGAAAGTGTTACATAGCCGTTACATATAGGACTGCTTATTTCCCATTCAAATCCTGCGATCCCCTATTTTATCACATCAGAAGAAATGCCTACCTCGCTGTTCATCATGTTTAATCTTAAACCTCGAGGTCATGTTACAATAATGATGAAGTAGGCTTCAGTTTTCCAAGTAATACGTCAGAAAAGTCGTAACAGGCACTTGATAGCTTAATACTAGGCATGATAGGAAGAATGTTGCTAAATAAATAGTATTTAAATACCTGACCAGAAAGTGATATGATAAGAATCCGACTATACGATGTTATATTTACGGCTTCAAGATATTTATAGTACATACTCTAACTCCAGAACAACAGGTGTGTTTCTGTTTGATATGTCTGTGATTATGGCCGACCTAGTCTAGATAAATGTTGTCACATGTTAGAGTCACGACGTTTTCACAAGAAACCGATCCCAATAAAACGTTTAATGGTGGTCAAAAACAAACAGAATGTCGATATTGTACGAGTATTGATAATATAGATGACAAGTTTCTACTGCTAATGTTTTGGCACGCTGCAGGGATTTGTGAATACCCATAAACCTCTGAAAATATGCTAGATAAATATCACCGATCAAACATGCATTACCCTGGGGGACGCAGGCAGACAAAATTATCCTCTGTCATGAATCTGACTCGTTACGAACAGACTAAACTAAATAAAAATGATAATCATATTGTAAGCAACACAAAAAGTGAGAAAATACCAAGCAATTAGTCTGTAGTGATGGGCAAGGTGGGCAAGTGATTGTCCTGTTCCTCCCCTCCGTGTTTGCATGAGACAAACGCAGCTGTGTTTGTTCTGGAAATGAGGAGAGCTGAAGATGTTGCAAGCCTCGATGTCGATGTCCCTGAAGAGGTCGCTTCTTCCAGCATTACTTAGACGTAGTATCTGGCTGTATTTGCTAAAAAACAATTTTAAAAGCACGCTGCCTAACGGATAAGTATCGATGCTCTGCTGAAGAGAGATTTCTATTTTTTCATACTCACACATTTCTTTAATAATTAGTCAGTTTCTTATCAATCAGGGATGATTTAGCCGTGTAAAGGGGCACGTTACCTCTATCGATTGTGGACGTTCAACAGTAACATCCGTTGAAGGAGATCAAATGGTCGAAAACTAAAATATGTTGTAATATTGATTACAATCTAAATGCGATTACCAATATAAATCACTCGAGCAGTCAGAGCACAAGGCTAAGTGGGGGTTTAACACTACTGTATGGTTCATGAATAATCTTCAATAGGAACTAATGCTAAATGACCTCATGCAATAAGTCAAACCTCGCCATCTTCCCCACCATTGTAGGGGAGATTATTTACACGTTACAGAACGCTTTGTGCAAAGTTTACAGTCGAATTGGATTGAATGGACCTGTTTCATTTTTCCGTAATTATATCAACTTTGCAGATTTTAGCCCTAGTGAAGAATGATTTGATGTCGGTTTTTGAAATGCGGCTTTTATCTCGGCATCGATTTAGTGGAGTCACCACCAACGTTTTATCTCATATTTTTGTGATGTTCGGTCATTACGCAACATACTCTTGATCTCACACCATCCATTTTAAGCTGTCGCCCATTAGAAATAAACAGGCGCGTTGTAGAGTAATGTAACCACGCCATTTATTTCAATTTCCCGGGCCTTCATTGTAACATTGGAAAACCGACTCTTTACCATCTACAAAAGATATCGTTAGTGCCAAAGTTGAGGGGTTGGCTCGAATGCATGCAAATGAAGGTTTTATGGTATTGGGTACACGTTTTGTGTGGTGGTGTTTAGTCTGTGTTGAGTGAGTGAGTGAGTGAGTGAGTGAGTGAGTGAGTGAGTGAGTGAGTGAGTGAGTGAGTGAGTGCGTGCGTGCGTGCGTGCGTGCGTGCGTGAGTGAGTGAGTGAGTGAGTCAAATTGTGTGTCCGTTCAATATGTGAAGAAAGCATATAGTGACCCAAGTGAAACCCACAGGCACAGATCGGATGCAGACAAACCAAAGATCGTGATTGGGGCAATGCTGAGTCCGAACCCACATTCAGGACATGCCGATGAAAGAGAACCACAACAGCTGTGTGTGATTGAGCTTTGAACGTTGTGTGTGATTGAGGTTTAAAGGCTGTGTGTGTGGTTGTTGTTTAAAAGGCGGTGTGTGATAGAGTGCTTATCTGATTGTGATTGAAACGCTGGGTGCGGAGGTGGTGTATATGCTGTGTGTGGTTGTGGCTGAAAGGCTGTGTGTGATTGAGGTTTAAAGAAAGAATGCCGTGGTCGTTTAAAGGCTGTATGTGATTGAGGTTTAAGGCCGCGTGTGGTTGTGGTGGTGGTTAAAGGCTATGTGTGGTTGTGGTTTAAAGGCCGTGTGTGGTTGGGGTGGTGGTTATAGACTATGTGTGGTTGTGGTTTAAAGGCCGCGTGTGGTTGTGGTGGTGGTTAAAGGCTATGTGTGGTTGTGGTTTAAAGGCCGCGTGTAGTTGTGGTGGTGGTTAAAGGCTATGTGTGGTTGTGGTTTAGAGACCGGATGCGGTGGTGATTTAAAGGCCGTGTGTGATTGTGGTTTAAAAAGTTTAAAATTACTTATGTTGGTATCGAAATCATGACTCTTACACTCCACTCAAACCTATTATACCGCTCTTTGTACACATCATAATTTCATTCTAGGTTCCTCTGTTTGCTACGACCATCTGGGATGTTTCGCAACCGACCCGCCATTTTTTAGCCTTCATCGTCCGTTGAACTTCCTCCCCGAGTCCCCAGACCACATCAATGTCCAGTTCATGCTGTACACCAAACACAATCCACAGAAAGAACAGATTGTTACCATCAACGACTCGGCCTCTGTCACCTCATCGAACTTTGACCCCGCAAAGCCCACCAAGATCGCCATACACGGCTACTTTGACAATGGTCAAAAAGCATGGCTTCACGTTAGTGGCTCATTTGTTTGTTTCACTGTTTGCTGGTCCTCCGCAGTTTCCATTCGTTCAGTTTATCAACCTATTGATGCAGTATTCAACATAACATACGTTTTTCACTCTTTGCAAAAATTGAGTGTATGAGTTAAAAATTAACGTCGCATCGGCATTATTTCAGCCATATAGCGACGAGTGCAAAAAGTATAATAAGCTCGAGACAAAAAACATGTGGGGTTCTGCATGCAATCAACAGTTCTGGTAGTTGCATAATCAGACTAAGTAATCAAACATGATTTGTATTTTTCATAAATTTATTTTCTTTGTGACGCGAGCTTCTTGGCGAAACGCCTTAAGGATGACTTCAGTTCGTGTCGACTGTCATCATTGTCGAGGGACATTACGACATTGCAAACAGAGATGTTTATTAACATTGATTTTAGGTGTCGCTCCAGAAGAAATGCAATTTCTTGTGCGGTGTATAGTTTCCTTCAGTGTCGGCCCGGTGGCACCTGAAAAATGATAACGAGCATTGTGCGTGTTGTTCTCCAGGAAGTCAAGGACGAGTACCTCAAGACTCACGATGTCAATGTGTTCATTGTCGACTGGGGCGGTGGTTCCAAGACGTTGTACACCCAGGCCACAGCAAACACCAGAGTGGTCGGGGCAATAGTGGCTCAGTTCATCACCCACCTCAAAGTGAGTACGATCCTCCCCATACCCGGCACACTGTCAACCATTGGCGGGCCAGTGATGGTACACCTACCTCCAACCTCGCAGTGATTCAAATACTCCCCCATCCCTTTATCAGACCCTACGCTACGGGGCACTTGCTCGCTTCCCAACCTACCTCCAAGGAAATAAGATCTTTACCTCATATCCATGTCATTATTTTTGGGGCCCGATATCTCATTATCTCCCTCAAAGTGAGTAAGATCCTTCTCAACATCCGAAGAGGTGTACTGAGAATTGATGGACACCAATATGTCATCATCCACCTCGATGTGATTACGATGCTCCCTGAACGACCCTCCTACAACCAGTATCCGGCTGGACGGGATGCTCGTATCTCAGTTCCTCGCCTACCCCAAAGTGAGTATCACCCTGCCCCACAACAAGCTCACAATCAACACATGGCGAGATTGGGAGCTCAAAGTGAGTAAAACCCTGCCCCACAAAAAGCTCACAATTAACACAAGGCGAGATTGGGAGCTCAAGATGAGTATTACCTTGCCCAACAACAAGCTAGCAATCAACACAAGGCGAGATTGGGAGCTCAAAGTGAGTTACAGCCTGTCCCACACCAAGCTCACAATTAACACAAGGCGAGATGGGGCGCTCAAAGTAACACCCTGCCCCACACCAAGCTCACAATTAACACAAGGCGAGATGGGGCGCTCAAAGTAACACCCTGCCCCACACCAAGCTCACAATTAACACAAGGCGAGATTGGGCGCTCAAAGTAACACCCTGCCCCACACCAAGCTCACAATTAACACAAGGCGAGATTGGGCGCTCAAAGTAACACCCTGCCCCACAACAAGCTCACAATTAACACAAGGCGAGAGTGGGAACTCAAAGTGAGTAACACCCTGTCCCACAACAAGCTAGCAAGCTAACAAGGAAAGATGGGGCGCTCAAAGTAACACCCTGCCCCACACCAAGCTCACAATTAACACAAGGCGAGATTGGGCGCTCAAAGTAACACCCTGCCCCACAACAAGCTCACAATTAACACAAGGCGAGATGGGGCGTTCAAAGTAACACCCTGCCCCACACCAAGCTCACAATTAAATTAACACAAGGCGAGATTGTGCACTCAAAGAGCGTAACACCCTGTCCCACAACAAGCTCACAATTAACACAAGGCGAGATGGGGCGCTCAAAGTAACACACTGCCCCACAACAAGCTCACAATTAACACAAGGCGAGATGGGGCGCTCAAAGTGAGAAACACCCTGCCCCACAACAAGCTCACAATTAACACAAGGCGAGATGGGGCGTTCCAAAGTAACACCCTGCCCCACACCAAGCTATAATCATCAACTATGCCAAACGCCCTTCCCTACAACCAGCCGCGGCAACACGAACCCCTACAAGCCAGGAGACCAACTACAAACATTCAACTCAACTATTTCCAACTTTTCTAGCGCCAACCACCTTGGTCGTGGTCGACTTCAACTCAACTAGCAGTCTATCTTCAAGTTGTTGATAACCCTTTACCTACTTCCAAGTTGTCTCATCGAATCTTTACACCCTGATTTAACCATTAGCTACAGTTTAGTAGGAGCAAAAATAGCCCAATACATTCTACAGCAAGCGAATGAATTTCTTTGTTTAGGTAATTTATTACCTTTTAAAGTTTAGAAGGTTTTAGATTTATCGACCCTATCCTATAAAGGTGCACTTATCATGTCACGTTCACATTCTGCAACGTGATTTCATGATGTACCTGAAACTGTGCGTTGTCACTGAAACTCATCAAGACGAAACACGCTCCAGTTATAGATACCCCAAAGTGACTCCCTTTAACTCGTAGAGCGTTTTCTATTTATAATTTCCGTCACTATTCATCACAACCTTTTATCCGGGTTTATGGAAGGTGTTTGCAGTTTGTTACACAGCGGTCCCCCACATGGTGCCTCTTAGTACAGCAATAACGTTGAATCAATATCCATTATAGAAGGCAAAAGCTAAAAGACTAGTCTCTGGTAACTTGTAAATGTTTTTTTTACGTCATTGGTGTTTTAACGGTCACTTTTAGCTATGTGAATCTGTCAAATGGAACGCATGATTCAGCTTTAAACCTATCCACTGCAGGTTTCGGCGACGCGTGTTGAAAGGAAGGTGACATGAACCTAATAGAACTATCTTTTTTTCTTCTCTGTGTGTGTGTGTGTGTGGTTGGATTTTTGTAAAATTAATTACAAAATGTCTGCTCGCCAGATATTGCTTGATGTCCTAAAAAATGGTGTTCTACAAAAACACAAAAACAACATTATTCGGCACCATTCAAAGACAAATAGTGTACATGTCTGTCCCCGTGATAATATGCATTCAATTGTTCCGCATCTGTATACAACTAACGACAATGAACGCTCAATAGTTTAAAGGCAGCGAATGTCTTGGACCACAAGGACCCGTGTTTGCCACGTGGTTTTCTAATCACTCGTTAACTTGGAGCAGACACACAATAGTTTCACGAAGCTCTGCTCCATTTGCTTAACAAATCACCCGTGAAGAGGCTTGCCGAAAAAGGCGACTATGCTTGTCGTAAGAGGAGATTAACGGGATCAAGTGGTCCGTTTCCCTGACTTGGTTGATGCATGTCATCTATCCCAGTTGCGTAGATTGATGCTCAATCACTGGATTGTCTTGTCCAGACTCGATTATTTATAGACCGTCGTCATAAAGCTAGAATTTTGCTGAGTGCGGCGTTAAACAACAAACAAAGACACAAAGCCCAATAAGTGCCAGTTTATTACATATATTAAACCACCATCGGGGTACATAAGGACAAATAGAATATTCCAATATACAACATGTAAAGCAAAATGGCAATGTATTATTTGAGTTTCATATTAAGGTGCTTTAAGCTTAAATAAGTTCTTAATGGTTAAGATGTTGTTGTATAAGCACAATTGACGGTATTTTGCAAGGTTAGACAATGTACAGAAATAACCATTAAAGAATGATTTACGTTCGCATAAAGTTTTGGCATTTATTATAAATACTGTTTGCTCCACCTCATGTGTAGTTAACTATAATATAGTTTTGCCCTAAACGTCAGACGAATGCACAAGGATGCTTGCGTCTGATGTTATTGATGCCGAATTTAAGAATAGCATTGTGTTTTGGGTTTAAAGTCAGATTTGCAATAAGCGGAAGTGTTCCACCAAAATGCAAATCGCCTGCACCCTTCCGTTAAAATACGTTTTAAACATCATCAAACACCCCTAAAATGGGTATTTTAGGATTCAATAAGTCATTTTTATTTGTTCAGTGTGAGATCCTCGAAATTCCCATGCAGCACTACGTATGATTTAAAGGTTAGTTTTTATTTACGCTACTGATTCATACAAAAGTTTGCACATCGGTTTTTCGATTCATACCTCAATGAACCGAACAATATACCCAATAACCCTTATAATAATTAAATTCGACAACGAAAACATGTGTTATCTACAAAAGATTAATCAAAACAACTAAAGTAATACAAAATGACAAGATTCATGAACATTCTTCCAGGAGTAGGAATACACAATGTGGCGTGTCATGAATCAGTTTAATTTATGCACATAACTTGAAACGCTCAGACCGCCTCCGTGGTCTAGTGGTAGAGCGTCCGCCCGGAGAGCGGAAGTTCCGGGTTTGATCCCCAGCCGCGTCATACCAAAAGACGTTAAAAGATGATACTTGTTGTTACCCTGTCTGGCGCTCGGCATTAAGGGGATGGTCGGCTCGGAGACAGTATACTGTGCCTGAGTGGGGTATTCATGTTTAACTGCGGCATGGCATCTCAGTGGGCTAGCACTATAAATCGGCATCAGTCCGGACTAGTACAAGCAGCCACACAAACACACACACGTACATGCACGTCGCTATATAAGTGCAATTGTCTTGGACGCGACGTTAAACCCAATTTCACCTCACCTCACCTTGACACGCCCACAAAGTCAGTAGCCAATCAACGGAGAGTAGGATCAAAACACAGTCGAACGGACCTGTCAATCAAGGCAAGAGGCAAATATGTCCGGGAGAAGGCGGTTGTTTCAAATGACATGGTCAGTAACCGTCAGACTCAAACGTTAGTTCCCTGAGGACGGAAAGACACAGTTGGATACATGTCAGTCAGTAATGGAACCCGAAGACATGAAATTTGTGGAACCCAGGGGAACGAGTAAAACCAGGGGAGCGAATAAAACCAGGGGAGCGAGTCTGCACGTTTGCTGTTTCAATACTTTTCGGCCTTCGGTCTCGAAAGATGATTTGGAATATGACTATGCATGAATTTCGCTAAAAAGCCCTGAGCAGAATGGGAATTCCCTCGACGGTTAGTGCTATATTCCGCGATTCCCCGATATTCCGTAGTAGTAAAAGAAGTCTTTTGAGGGCGTGGCTTAATTTTTTACATTAATTTTTATGTGTGTAAATGACTGTTTGGCTTTGATCAATGCCGACAACCTTGCAGTGCGCGGGCGAATGTTGTGTAACGCCACAGCTTGCAACAGTACAGCTATATCAAGACAAGATAACTTTGCTGCCATATCAGACATTGTGTTATTTTTTATATTCTTGGGTTTCTTGTCATTTCTAGGTAAGTATTATCATAACCATCATAATTCTTGGTATTGTTGGTACCCTGATTATCGTGCGCAATTGTAATTCAGTTATTTTTGTGAGAATGTGGTGAACGTCTACCATCAGCGCCACGTTCTGTTGAGGTCAACACACTCTCTCATCGTGTGTCTGTCATCACTCGATATGTATATGCGATGCAATCATACACCGATACCAGTGTGTTTCTTGGTCATATGTTTTTTAAACAGTAGCTTCATCCTTTCATACCGCAGTCATTACGGTAGTTCGGAAGCGCTCAACATGAAAATATAGCGTGATCTGGGGCAATCTGAAATTACACCATGTGCCCTAAGGAATCATGACTTTCGTGCAGGGGTATACTTTTTACAAAGACAGATTGGTCACGTTTTCTGTGGTCGAGACTCGTTATTGTAATTGTCTTAAGTCACGCTTTAGCGTTGATGTGATCTACGCTGATTGTATGATTGAGCCGATTTGCTGCTTTGTCGTCACATCCAGTCTGACTCAAACCGGAATAAGAAATTAATACTGTGCAACAGAAAGTTTACACAGAAAACACCAGTCGCTATATACACTTATAACGAACTGACGGATATAACGAACTTACTTTTTTGCCCCGACTATTTGCTGTACTTATGCTGTATATATGCATTTAACGAACTACGACTATAACGAACTAAAATAAGTGGTCCCTTTAAGTTCGTTATAACCGTAGTTTACTTTAAAGCGTAAAGCCAAAAACCTGTATTGTTACAAAGCGGCGTTTAACCCAACTCACTCAACCCTTGGTCCCTTGTGATCATCAAACTGACCACAGTAGTTTACAAATGAGTAGTTGAATAACTGAAGAAACAACGCTGTAAGTTGAATGTATAAACGGAATAATATCATTACAACTTCGACCAAAGAATATTTTGAAAGTACATGGAACATTCTGGCCTAAGCATGACAGAAACTGAAATGCAATCTGTCACATTTCTGGCAAAATAAATCATTTTGAAGTGGATCTTTAAAAATATTGTCTGAGGGACGAATTTAAATAGATAAACATGTTATTCTATTCGACAGAGATTTTTTTTTCATTTTCGCTTGCAGTAAGCTGTAATTGTCGATGGAACTGGATATGACTCTTGGTAATTTGTAATCAAGCGCGTATGTCTGAATTTAGAATAAAATATAACACATCCATGCAGAAAACGATACAAGACTTTTAGATGAAATGCTGTAATATATATAACTAAATTCGAGTCGGTGTTGAGATTATTGGTCTAGACATGAATTATATGCTATCTGATGTCTGCTGGTAAACTGGGAGCCTGTTATCTAATATAAACTATTGACATTGCACCAACTGACGTGTCAACGACGGAAGTAGCTAGTATGCAATTCAGACACCATTTGCACTTGATATAACTTTTTGTTTTGTTGTTTGTTGTTTAACGCCGCACTCAGCAATATTCCAGTCTGTAAATAATCGAGTCTGGACCATACAATCCAGTGATTGACAGCATGAACATTGGTCCACGCAATTGGGATACGATGACGTGCATCAACCAAGTCAGAGACTCTGACCATCCGATCCCGTTAGTCGCCTCTTACGACAAGCATAGTCGCCATTTAAGGCAAGCATCGGTTGCTGAAGACCTATTCTAATTCAGATCTTCACGGGCATGAACGCTTTAACCACCAGTCCTCCCAATCACCCTTAGTCGGGTGCTGTCTATACATATCATCATATGTCAAGTGAATGGGTGAAGTTTAGTGACATGTCTGGAGATGTTTATTCATATCATTTGTTTATTTCGGACGAAAGTTTATTTCAATGATTGAAGTATAACAAGAACAACACTCCTAAACTTCCTTGACTCGCACAACACATGTTTTTCCATCACATTTTATGACGTTTTATAGTGCATAAATTTTAATGAACTTTAATGATTCTTTGTTTTGTTTAGTAGGTCAGGAAAAGCTTGGCAGGCCACTGTTTTCCTGACTCTCACACAAATTATGTATATATTTGTACAATCTGCTCCTTGTCCTGTCGAACTGCTTATGTGATACTAGCCAGATTGTTCCGACGCCACATCTCTCTACTAATTGTGTCCTGTGAGTTGTTTTTGTAACCATGGCATGTGTTACAGACTGTAGGTCACGCCAAGCCTGAAGACTTTCATCTGATTGGGCATAGTTTGGGCGCTCATGCAGCTGGTTATGCAGGGGAGAGAATCCAGTACGTTGGAAGAATCACGGGTAACGTTTATATAAAAACGAGCCAATAAATGATATATAGATGAAAAAAATATGATAATAAAGTAATAGTGGTAGGTTAATACACGACCAATTTACCTCTTTTTTCAAAACTTGAATGTAAAATATAAATTCAGTGAAGGATAAATTAATCAATGCAACCATGAACAGGTGTGAATAAATATGTCCCAAACAGCCCTCAAATCTTTTCTAAATACATGGTCGATAGCAACAACATGTCATGATGTCATCTAATCATGCAAAACTACAAGGCAAAATGGTAGTGGAATAACCTAGAGGTTACGTGCTCTAACGTTTTGCTGAAACACCTGTACCATTTCTCATATATATCTCACAATTTATGAAACGATTCTTTAACCAAGGTTTGGACCCAGCAGAACCCTACTTCCAGGGCACTGATGTCAAAGTGAGGCTCGACCCGACCGACGCCATGTTTGTTGACATCATACACACCAATGGAGAATCCCTTCTTAAACTAGGTATATACTACTGCAATGATAACCAACCGTGCTAGGAATGAACTTATAAAAGCAAAAATGAGTGACAGAGTGAATTTGGTTTAACGCCGCTTTGAATAGTATTCCAGTTATATCACGGCGTGTCAGCTTAATGTGGAAAGTAATGCCCCTTTGGTGAAACCCACAAGCACGAGAACCGTGCTGACTAACGTAGGCACATAATTGGGGAGAACTGAGCTTCGAAACCATGATCATGTTTCTGGCGTGCCCAAGGGATGCAACTCTGCACCAGTGCCTTTGAAGACTGGGCTACCTGTACCCCAAATAGCTGCGATGACCAGTGATGTCATAATTTGTTCGAAAACGTACTTGGACACTTCTGCAGCTAGGAACGTAAGCACAGTGTGGAGGAATATGTGATGCCATGTTTTCTTTTGTTGTGATGCCTGGAGCAGCCACATAGATTTGTTTAATGTCAAAGAAATTTGCCTCACTCCCAGGTCTAGGGATGAAGCAACCGTGCGGTCACGTGGATTATTACCCTAATGGCGGACTAACACAACCCGGATGTGACGCGAAGAACGCCGTGTCAAATATAAAGATCGAGGGACTTCAAGGCGGTGAGATTATGGTCATGCGTATAGGGCCTGATAGGGAATGATGTGATAATCGCAGAGACACCACGACAAAGAAACCAAACAGTAATTAGGAATGCTACGAAAATAAGCCCAATAGATCCAGAAATACCAACAATTGGTTGGCATTTAAACTATATTTAGCTGTAGGAATATAGTTTGAAAAGCGGAAGGACGTAGTAGTAATTCTTCAAGACCAATATTTATGGACCGACCATTTAATGCTCTGGGCCTGTGATGTTGGCTAGAGGTAGAAAAATGTCAAGTCACTCAAGTCATTGGTTGTTGTTGGTTTGTTGTTTTACGCCGCACTCAGCAATATTCCAGCTATATGACGGCGGTCTGTAAATAATCGATTCTGGACCAGACAATCCGATGATTAATATCATGAGTATCGATCCACGCAATTGGGATCGATGACATGCATCACCAAGTCAGTGAGCCTGACCACCCGATCCCGTTAGTCGCCTTTTACGACAAGCATAGTCACCTTTTACGGCAAGCATGGGTTGCTGAAGACCTATTCTACCCCGGAATCTTCACGGGTCTAATACCCTCTGAAAAATTGAAATAAACGAAATTCTTTTTTCATAATCATAACAAATCTCTGTGAAAAAGCAGAATTCATTGTAAGATTCCCACAATATCACCAGCATGTGTTTATGAATCACTTTCAAATAGCGATGATACCGTGTGATCGCGAAAAGGAAAGTGCATCTGTCCCACCAGAGGCACCCGTCACAAACACTTGGAATTCAAGTCAAGTGTTCACCTGAATACACATATGGTACAAGTCAAAATAGGGAATGTCATCGGACATATTTGTTTGTCCCTGATGCTTCAACTTTTGAAATGTCGTCCACACATGACATGCACTTCTTTTCCTCTGATTCTGCAACACATTTTCCCCATGGTATTCAACAGCCAATATATTACTTGTTAGATCTGTTTATTTGAAGTAAAACAATAGGTAACAAATGTTATATTTGGGATAACACTTTCTTTGTGAAGTACAGATTCTCGTCCTTTTTTTGGTTGAGTTCCTTGCGGGATTCGAACCCACACCACCAGACTTTGTGTGCTGGCGATTAGCTGCCTCACGCGGTGTGGGTTCGAATTCCGGACGGGGCTTAACCCAAAAAAGTACAAGAATCTGTACTTTACAAAGAAGGTTTTATCCCAAATATAACATTTGCTATATTTGACCACTTTCTTAATGGCATTGTGTGTTCATAAAACCATAGACCGCCTCCGTGGTCTAGTGGTAGAGCGTCCGCCCGGAGAGCGGAAGGTCTGGGGTTCGATCCCCGGCCGTGTCATACCGAAAGACGTTAAAAGATGGTACTTGTTGTTACCCTGTCTGGCGCTCGGCATTAAGTGGCTAAAACAAGGACTGGTCGGCTCGGAGTCAGTATACTGTGTCTGAGTGGGGTATTCATGTTAAACTGCGGAATGGTATCTCAGAGATTTAGCACTATAAATCGGCATCAGTCCGGACTAGTACAAGCAGCCACACACACACACACACACACACACACGTGCATGTACGTCGCTATATAAGTGTAATAATCTTGGACGCGACGTTAAACCCCATTTCACCTCACCTCGTCTCATAAAACCATAGGCTAAATTGAATTGTTAACCAATTACATAAATACCCCGGCTTCATTTGCAGCAACTGCAAAATTTATGATTTTGAAACTGGAAAACTTATACATGTTTAGTTGAAGGCATTACCAGTTGAAGTAAATGGTAACACAAAATATACGCTGACATACTGCTGACTGTTAAAACTCTATGCATAGAAAATTTCATCATACTGAAACGACTTTGTGTCTGTTCAAACCTATCAACATCTTTGAGATATGGTGATGAGAATTTTACAAAAAAAGAAACAGCAAGTCCATGTATTATTTGAGAGAAACTATTTACATTTGTGGTCACAATGTCTGAGTGATAATATGGCAGACTTGATGCATATGTGCCATGAGTATTCGGAAATGAACATGACATGCAAAATGTGTCATCAGAACATTTCAAAGGTCGTTTGTCAATTTAAAAGAAGATGAAATAATTTCTAACGTCTCAAAATTGATATGAGTGACATATAGTGATCTCCAGAAAGTAGTCAATAAAGATGTAAGTCAACGTAAGCAAAGTCACATATTCCGGAAATTGTCCCGTCTTCGCGCGATCGCTCGGGACACTTCACGATGACGGATTGACAAATGTGTCGTGACATTGATGGAAGGCTGTGACATTCTCAAGGGTTGGGTACTTATTATGCGACATCTATTCAACTTTAAAAATGGTGACCTTTGATTGTACTTAAACCATATGTCAAAAGTCGTAAGAGAAATAGTAAATTGCCCTTCAGAAGTGAAAGAATTCTTTAGAAAGAGAGAGTGCACTTCTGGAACATCGTGGGTCCTTTCCACCTTATGCGAAACTATTTTCGAATTTGAGTCAACTAAAGGTTCAATACTCCGTATCACACACTTGCGGAGAGGCCTTGTTTAATGGTGTGTGCATTTGGAGGGTGGTGTGTCACTTTCTTTCCTAAGTGTGTTTGGTTTGTTGTTTTACGCCGCACTCAGCAATATTCCAGCTATATGACGGCGGTCTGTAAATAATCGAGTCCGGGCCAGGCAATCCAGTGATTGATATCATGAGCACCGATCCACGCAATTGGGATCGATGGCATGCATCAACCAAGTCAGCGATCCTGACCACCCGATCCCGTTAGTCGCCTCTTACGACAAGCATAGTCAGTTTTTACGGCAAGAATGGGTTGCTGAAGACCTATTCTATAGGGCTGTGATGGCGCATTATGAATTTCAACGTCCACCCTGGGATCTAATGGCATGGTACCATAAAATTTCATGTGGAATGAAACATCACATATATTGTTTATCTTTATTTGAAAATAATATATTTAGACTGTAGATACAAAAGGTGAAACTCTCATCGCGAATGCTGTGTAGGATTGGACATAATCCTTTTAGATGCACTTGAGTAAGGTGCATTCGTATGTTTGAAATAGTACATCAAGTGGCGTGCTATGAAAATTTTTGCTTGGAGACCCATGCCAATTACACTACGAAATAAGTAGTAAGAGAAAGCTTGGCCATTCATGGACAAATAGGATAACGCTGATTTAATTGATTTAATCTGATAGACAAAGACTTATTGAAACTGATGCTGATGACATCACACTGTCTCTAACATTGTACCAAACCGGTGTTACATCGTTTTTCAGGCGTCAAAACCTTTTTTGACTGCAGCCATAAACGCTCACATGCGCTCTTCACGGAATCCATCAACAGCAGATGTCCATTTGAAGCTTACAAGTGTAACAGTAACGAAGATTTCAATGTGAGTTATAAAGTCAACGTACACCAATAGAAAAACCAGGTTGAACTGGTTGGAACATGCTACTTCAGTGCTACACAGGAGTTTTTAATAATTGGATATATCACAGATTATATACGATGGCTACGCGATAAATCGCAAAGAACAATGATGAACGAAGCGTGGTTTATTCACGATAAAACATTGTTCTATCATGACGACACTTCTGTGGAGATTTGAATATGCGCTCGCAACTTGATGACGTCATATATTGGTCGACGTTATTTTGAGAGGGAAGTGTCCAGTAAGTTGTTGCCCATAGCTGTCGCTGGGCAAAGCATCCAATAGTGGGAGAGATATGACAATCGGTATTGGGAGAAAAGGTACAGATATACAGATAACCGACGTGGGGATTGTGAGAATGTGCGGGAAATACCAATACCAATCCCATCTGTTCATAAAATGGATTTGTCCGACATTGCGAGGTCGGATTCTAACGAGGGAGTCATCATTATTAAAATACGGGTAAAATTTTAAAGCTTTTACACTTTATCATCATCCATAAAGAGGCTGTACATTTTTTCTCATATAAGAAATAAATGACTCGTTATCGTTGTTTATCGTACAATAAAACACTGCAGAGACAATAAACCACTCGGGTCTGGGCTCCTCATGGTTTATTCCCCCAGCAGTGTTTTATTTACGATAAACCAACGGCCACGAGTCGTTTTTTTCTTAAATAGGATAACGGTGTCACATACCTTTTTCATGCCCCATTTTCACTATGTACATAATAACAACGGATGATATTACCGCTGTCGTTGAAAGAAACATTAGAAAACTATCAACCGATATGTTAAATTTAATTCAAAGGCTTCGCAGGAATGAAACCTCATATCAAGTCAAATCGGGAAAAAACGTTAACAGCGCAACAGCATGAAAAATACATTGAAAACATGTAGTGCAAATTGTCATGATGTTTTCTACTGGGATTAATGTGTGGATTGTGTTTCATCGTTGAATGTATGCTGTAAGAGCAATCGTGTGAGCCTTTGTGAAACACAACAAAAACATCATCATTTATGGAGCACTGTCACCAGTATTGCGTCAAATTATTGTAAAAGAACCGATCAAGTTTCATTTTAGGCTGGCAAATGTATTCCATGCAGCGGAGGCGGATGTGGTTATATGGGTTACCATGGTGACCGTGTTAAGCCAAACAACAAGCAAACGCTGGTGAAGTATTTCTTGAAGACTGGTTCGACTGCGCCCTATTGTCGTAAGTAAGGTCGTAAATACACAAGCAGACAATACTTACAATCGGTTTCATAAAGGGATCATTTAGTATTAATCATACTTATCAGTGTCAGGTAAAGTGTGACACAGTCATGTACTTGACTCCTATATTTACGGAAATCAGATGTGTATGGAATAATAACATGTATAATATTCTTTATTTTGGTAGAGGGGCGGTCGGATAGCCTAGTGGTTAAAGCGTTCGCTCGTCACACCGTAGACCCGGGTTTGATTCCCGACATGGGTACAATGTGTGAAGCCCATTTCTGGTGTTCCCCGCCGTGATATTGCTGGAATATTGCTAAAAGCGGCGTCAAACCATACTCTTTCACTCATTATTGTGGTAGCGTTATTGAGTCGACAACTAATTCATTTTTTACCAAACGTCAGATCTAACCAGGGCCCACTTGCACAAAGCGATCTTAGCCCTAAGATTACCATAACTCCCATACTTACATAGGCTTACGATAGTCTTAGCGCTAGGGCTGGGACGAGTCCACATTTACTACCCGGGTACCCGACCCCCAATTACCCGACCCTACCCGGGTACCCACTGCAGGTCTCAAGAGTAGGGAAAAAAATGTCTGATTGGTAATTGTTTTACCGCAGCCCTGGCTAAAACTATTTAGATACATGTATCAAACAATCAGATCATGCGTTCACTGAAGTTGACTGAACCTTTATCTTTACTCAAACATATACACGTCAAAAGGTATTTGTGCATCGTCAGAAAGAAATGCGAACATTTTAGTGTAACCACTGAGCTATAGTAGGTTTTTGTCATTAAACAATATATCACATGATTAACCATGGGTCCGGGCGGGTAGTCCAGTGGGTACTCTGGTCTTTCTCAGAACCCACCCGACCCGAGTACCCGAGTAACCCGTCCCAGCTCTACTTAGCGCTAAGATCGCTTTGTGCAAGTGGGCCCTGCACTCTCAGCTCAACACACACGCCAACTATTTCTTTGGTTGGAAATATGAGTCGGCTAGACACTTACGTGGATGTAAATATCAACGCCTAAAGCTGGACACAATGCAAGTGTATCGCACTGCAGGTGACATTCAAAGATCGCAATCAATATCTGCTAAAGACAACAGGGATACCTCCATATACGTATTCATCAGTATCATGATTTAGGTTACAATCCATTTCGCAATAGCTGAAATCATGTTTGGCAAATCTCGGCATGTGTCATGCTTTACATCACATCTTTATAGATAATGTTCTGTGATCAGGTTTCACATCAAGGTTTCACTTGTAGATTCGGGTGTAGATATTGTCATACATAACCAGCTACATATACTCCTACATCGGTATACCCCACCCATCCGTTTATATAACATTATTTGTATACAGTGTCATCCTTATGCCTTCAACCGAACCAATGGTCGTGGCATGCCAAACCGCCAACGTCAAGAGGGGAGGGGGAGGGGGAGGGGATGAAAATATTTTGTACAATCTAATTTGTTAAGAAAAAAACATGTATAATTTATCTATTTTCCCTCAAACTAAAAAAAATGTTCACTAGCCTTCTGTGTGTCATGATCATGAAACGAATGAGTTGTAATTTTTTTTTGCTCCTACAAAGACAAAATGTACGTGTTTATGTATATATACTGGTATGAGTGTACGATTATCTTTGTACGTGGTCCGCCTCCGTGGTTTAGTGGTTGAGCGTCCGCCATCAGAGCGTCATAACCATAGGACGTTGTTGTTACCATGCCTGGCGCTCGAGACCGCCTCCGTGGTCTAGTGGTAGAGCGTCCACCCGGAGAGCGGAAGGTCCGGGGTTCGATCCCCGGCCGCGTCATACCAAAAGACGTTAAAATATGGTACTTGTTTTTACCCTGTCTGGCGCTCGGCATTAAGAGGCTAAAACAAGGACCGGTCGGCTCGGAGTCAGTATACTGTGTCTGAGTGGGATATTCATGTTAAACTGTGGCATGGTATCTCAGTGGGCTAGCACTATAAATCGGCATCAGTCCGGACTAGTACAAGCAGCCACACACACACACACGTGCATGCACGTGGTTATATTAGTGCAATATTCTTGGACGCGACGTTAAACTCCATTTCACCTCACCTATCTGCATACGTACATCACAGGGTTCCACTACCAGCTGCAGATTACTCTGGGTGCGCCACACGGGTCACGTAAGGAGAGGGGCGATGTATATGCTACACTTACCGGCAGCAAAGGACACACCGAGGAGATACAGCTCACTGACGAGTAAACTTCCCTTTTCAATTCGTTATCATACAGATTAACTCAAAGTGTATTTGGAACAATAGGAATTAGGACATAACACATATAAGAACCGGCTTTGAGACCGAACGTTTGATTCTGGAGGTGGGTGGGGGTGATTGTTTGGGGCTTGATCCAAATCCACATTTTTCTACCAAAGATTTACCTTTCATAACGAGACCGCCTCAGTGGTCTAGTGGTAAAGTGTCCGCCGGAGATCGAAAAGTCCGGGGTTCGATCCCCGTAAAGACGTTAAAAGGTGGTACTTGTTGTTACCCTGTCTTGGGCTCGGCATTAAACGGGCAAAACAAGGACTGGTCGGCTCGGAGTCAGTATACTGTCTGAGTAGGGTATCCATGTTAAACTATGGCATGGTATCTCAGTGGGCTAGCACTATAAATCGGCATCAGTCCGGACTAGTACAAGCAGCCACACACGAACGTGCAATATAAAAGTGCAATAATCTTGCACGCGACGTTAAACCCAATCTCATCTCACCTCACCTTTCATAACGCAATTAGTCCACGTTCAATTATATCAGTATCATTGCATATATAATACGATTTTAAGTATGTGAGCAAACTATATAGTTCGTCACACTGAAGCAGATGGTTCTATGTGCTTCTTGAAAGGCAATATACTTTCTCTGTCTATATTTTAAAAAGCTTCTCTGTCGATTTTTCAGCCATATTGATCTGACACCAGGCAAATCCTATACTTATGTTGTGACATCACCACAAGAGATTGGTCAGCTGACAAAGTTTACAATCCGGTGGGAGGAGAATGCGCACTGGTACAAACCTTTAGACTGGAACCCGCTTAATCTGCGCCATCCTACTCTATTTATATCCAAGGTGAAGGTCGTAGAGGGGGAGAACACACAACAGTAAGTAATATATAGAGGTTATCACTCTAGTGTGTTTGGGGATGGTAAATATCCTGTATTAGGAATAAACAATGTATTTGGTATTACTGTTTGCAAAGAATAGAACTGCCCATCCAACCTACATCCTTCCATTCACCCAGCCAGCAACCAATCTATAAGGTTGGTTGGTTGGTTTGTTGTTTAACGCCGCACTCAGCAATATTCCAGCTATATGACGGAAGTCTGTAAATAATCGAGTCTGGACCAGACAATCCAGTGATTGACATCATGAGCATCGATGCACGCAATTGGGATCGATGACATGCATCAACCAAGTCAGCGAGCCTGACCACCCGATCCCGTTAGTCGCCTTTTACGACAAGCATGATCGCCTTTTACGGCAAGCATGGGTTGCTGAAGACCTTTTCTACCCCGGAATCTTCACGGGTCCAATCTATTAGGAAACACGTTTTTGTAATTTATGATGTCCATGATGTCCATACACACTGATCAATACACACCTACCTAAAACCTTATGAGAACAAAACGATCTTATGTGGCCACTCATGTCCTTATACCAAGAGAAATATTCATGTTATTACAAGTCTTGGTATATATATATGTCATATGGATTCATTGTCATATACTACACTTCTAAAGGCAAACTTACATCCAACTTAATACCGCCTAACTACTTGCTTAGGTTTAGCTTACAATATCTGTTTACAGTTAGTCAGATGTATCTTCTCAATACTTTCTGTTTTCTGGTCGCCTGCAGTGCAACTGCAACAGTTCTGACAAACAAAAATAATGATTGCTCAATATCAATTCTGAATTTACGGATAAATCTCAGTTATCATAACGCTGATTGTCTTGTTCTGACAAATATAAATGGGTTTTGATCCCCGATAATTTAAATGTGAACAACACTCGAGATACTTCTATTTAGGAACCATCTGAATCTGGCATCCATTGTAATATCACTTGTCTGAGCTCCTCTCTAAACACCACGGTTTTAGTTTTATCATTGTGCACAGTCATTTATTACAAATATCACCCAGAAACCATATGTTGTTATAACATGAAGACAGTGTTGGTTCCACTAACCACATCATCAGCCCAAAACAAAGTATAAAGAATAGTTTTTTTTCCAACATTTCACCCCAGTAGATTCTTCTGCACTCAGAATTTTCCCGTCAAGATATTCATTCAAATTACAATCAAATAGTATTGGGCTGAGACAACATTTGCTTCTCAACTGAAGTAATCACTTACACTATTGCACGTGGTCACACATTAACGTCTTTCCCCCTAATCCATGTTCTTTTAGTACAAGAAAGTGCTGTTCCGTACAGTTGTTTGAAAAAATCTATAATTTCTACATACATTCTTCCTTTTCGCTTCGCAAAATACTTCTAAATAACTGGCTATAGAATAAATATGTTATCTGTGGTCGAATGTCCTCTTTTGTGACATGCGTGTTCTTCGTGTAATTTGCTGTCTGTTTCTGCCCATTAATTGTTTCTTCAATATCTTTGTGAAACGTTTTCCATTAACATCTAGAAGACAAATACCTCCGTAATTGTTTGGATGAACACTTCCGTCACTACAAATTAATGCAAACTACATATGGAATATAGTTCATATCATTAAGTTCATCGATATCATTGATATTCTGGTCCTTTAGATAATGTTACCCGTTTCGCAGAAACCTGGTGTCATCACTGATTTTCAGTGAACCATTAATATAACTACCACCACCATTTTGCCTTTAATGCCCAATGGAAACTGTTGCAAGAGATATTCGACATCGGTTATTCCCTGGCTTTGGTGTGTTATTTTTACAAATCTTTCAAAATGTTAATCTATAATGACTTGTGTGCTGTTAACTTATATTTCGTGGAAATCCTGTACCCATCTCTTTTTGTTAATGTTTAAAATATCTTCCTTATGTCTTTAAGAGAATAGTCACTTGCACAAGGTCATTTGCTGTCTGATTTTGGGTACCATCTTTTTCATGTGACAAACACTTATAAATCTGTTTCCTTGCTTTGAGGTAGAATTGTAAGTCAGATTACTGTTGCTATCCTTGAACTTGTGGTAAATGATACTCTCGTCAGTATTCTTTTTTATTCCATTGATGTCAGATACACGTACAGATGCCTGGTTTCCATGATATCAATTTGACATGACAGTTTTTCGATGGCAGCATTCATGGTTTTCAACTTGTAAAATACAAAGTATCATTTACAGATAGTCTGCATATTGTTGTCTTTGTCCATGTCCTTATGCGTTGGTGCGATGGGATATGTCAGTTCCGATAGTCTTCAAACCCATTTTTATGTCATGTTTGTTTGTTTGTTTGTTTGTAGTTTAACGCCGCACTCAGCAATATTCCAGCTATATGACGACAGTCTGTAAATAATCAAGTCTGGACCAGACAATTCAGTGATTGACATAATGAGCATCGATCAGCGCAACTGGGTTCGATGACATGCATCAACAAAGTCAGCGAGCCTGACCACCCGATCCCGTTAGTCGCCTTTTATGGCAAGCATGGGTTGCTGAAGATCATGTACTCTTATCCAAGAAAGAAATGAAATGTTCGAAACTATTTTATATATTACCTATGCGAATTGCGCTGTTGACCTTTGGTCGAATGATGATGATGTTATCATGTTTTTCCTCTTAAGCGGACTGTCCGATTGCATTGAAGACCTTGGGTTTTATTTATGGGTTAAACTATATGTTACTAGTTTCTTATTATGTTAACAAGGGACAGCATTTGTTTATACCCCTACATTATAACATGTAACTATTTTGTTTAGGTTTCATTTATATTCATGTAACTGTCTTATATAATGTATCTTCAATATTGCAGTTAATATAGACATTTTTTCTATCTATCTATCTATCTACCATGACGTGGTCACTGAGTCCATCACCTTATTTTATCATTGCAGATTTCAGTTTTGTGGCTCTAACGTTGCAGTGGAGAGCAAGACTCCCAAACAGCTGTCAGCGTCAAGCACCTGCTGATGAACCAGTCGGACTGCTTAATACCTGTTACCATCAAATGCTAAATTTAAATCATGTTATGTGATATGTACCTTTACTAATTTTATTTCTTTTGTGCCCTTTGATTCAGGTGATTCAATTCAATAAAAGTCTGGTACCTCGACTCTTTGATGAATTCTTTCTGTAATTCTCGTTTCACGTAAACTTGTCATACACTCCACCATGTAACCATCAGGATTATGAGGGCATTGCTATGGTAATTATTTCCATGGCCTTTAGAACGATATGTGTGTTCGTCGTCATAAAGCTGATGTCCCTTTGAGACATATTATCACATTGTTGTCCCAGACTATGACCTTTTTCAGGAGTTTTGTCTCCTTTGTCACTGATACTTACTTGAAGGGATCGATGGTTAGGTGTGGTGACTCGGTTGAGAGCGTGACGTAGAACGCCGACTACGTAAGGCATTGCTCATGATACAAATCACTGGACTGTTTGAAGTCCAGCCCGTGTGGTTGGAGTATTGCATCCATTCATATAAATTTCATCACTATTATGTCTTTAACACCCCATGGAATCATTTTCGCAGATAATCGAGACTGATTTATGTTGACCTTTTGAATTGAGCTGCATTGGCTGTTGATGTTATGCTAGTTTTTGTGCACAATGTAGATGACATTTCATTTATATGTTTATGTTAATTCTTGTGCATACTGTTTTGAGGTAATACAAGATTTGTCATTCCTCAAAGGACAACGACCCTGGCTCACATACAATATGGTAATTCTATAATAATTGAAATATGGCCATAAGCTTGATTCTGCTGGAGTAAGTGTTGATTTGATTTCATCTTCAAAAAGATATTTGTTCAGATTTAGTAATCTAGTTGGTTCTTTATAAATATATCCTGTACCATTTCAGTTCTGCAATGCATATGCACAACATATCATCCGTCACTCCCGTCACAAGACCATGATGATTTGCTTATAGATGTGACATATGATATTACTTGACATCTCAGTAGGAAACTGTTCTATGATAGCTATTTTATTTGACACCAATGATAACTGTGTAATGTTACCGCGTACGTCACTATGACAACGATCTAATTCTTTATTCCATAGGTAAATGTATCTTTGGCGAGGGATAGAATGACTGAAGAAAGATTTGTGATAAGAAAGAAGACAGTGACACGGTGCTACTATTAATCTACAGTGTGTACTCTTTAAAACCACTCGCCAGGGGTTTAATCATTATTTATGTTATTTAAACACAACCTTTTGGAAACATTTAACGGATATAAGTAAATAACTAGTCGGAATTAGACCATGTAAAGACCAAATATAATCAATTCTGCCCACCTTATGTCAGATATGAAAGATTAATCATGGGGTTGCGGGGATTTCAAGGGTCTCAATGGGTCTCGGAACCAGAAATTAAGATTTCTCGAACATTCCTATGATAATATGAATCTTTATATGATGAGTTTTTGACATATTTCCAATATAACAAAGTTATGACGTTCAGAACATGATCAGGGGGTGAAATAATTGTTAACGCTATATTAGCCCTCTTGACGCACACAGAATTACGACAGCTCGTGATGAAGTAAGTTAAGATAGTTTCAGACGACCGTTAGCAGTATTTCATTCATGCCACAGCAAGAGAGTCTTGGAACTGGCTTCACTTTGTATTTAAGGACAGATTCAAATCCATCATTATCTCGAACTCCTTAACCCTACCTCTACCCTAATGGCCCCTCTTGTACAAAGATGATTCATGCGGCAATTTTTCAGCTGCGTGGAGGAAAGTACAGTCCAGACATGAATTAGTTAATACTGCCGCTTAATGCAGTACCCCTGACCATTAGTGGTGATGGCTATCATAGTCCTCTACAGCTTAAGTACATTTTACTGGTATATCTATCTTCAGTCTAAATAATTTCAATTACTGCCACTCTATGTATATGATAGGTATCACGCAGAAAAATGAGAGCTTGACCTCATCTGTAAGGCGTTCAGTAGTACCGATATACATCGTTACCAATCTGAACTGTCAAAGACTATTTGGACCGACCAATTTCAAATGATCACACAATGCCATTTAGAAAGTGGTCAAATGTGTTACATTGTATATTTTGAGCTAACAATTTCAGATGTTTTCTTTGATAGTGTCGACTTCAACTAGGACATGGTAATCTTTCTGTACAAAGCCCTATGGTAATTGTTGCGGATCGATCACAACAGATGTTTCTTATGGTAATTGATGATTACTTGACGTATTAAGTCGCAACTGTCACTTGGACCATGAGTATAGTTACCGGTGACTCTGAAGTGACCGAACCAGCTTTATCCATGGATGCATGACCTACCGCTGGAAGGCTTGTCCGCCCTATTATCTTTCCGACATATACCTTGTTAATACAATATAGATGCATTGCATGCGGTATCTCCAAGACCTGTACATTGATGATATTGATATTGAGGCATCGATGCGGTATCTTTCAGACACATATCTTGATAATACAATACAGAGGCAGTGCATTTGTGCAATTTACAAGCCTCTATATTGATAATAATATATTGTCTTGGTGATCTCTTCCATGTAACGTACTGTAAAGAACAAAAGTTAATAGAAAAAGAAGTAGCATGTAATTAAGTGGTTGATGCATTGACAAGACCATGTTGTACAAAACGCTGTTCCAAGTGTGCTTGGGGCACTCCCTGTGGACTGATCCCAGAACGTCTGCAATCAGTTTCTGTCAACTGTAGCAGTCAGATACATTTGGTACAAACATTTACCTGTCCGCGTGTGACAATGGATCATGTGTTTAACCGTTGTTACTAATTGGATGGTGAGGAAAAAGTACACTGGTCCCCTTTTTTCAGACACCAAACACGTTAACTGCTAACTTGGGTATTTTCTGCAACGCCCCGTCCCCTCCTCTCTTCATAACCCCTGGTCCGCCTCTCCTAACTGTTTAAGGCTGTTATTCATTACATTCGTCCACAGTAACCATATTTCACGTCACTTTCATTTGACCTAGGAAATTAGAGAAATAAAATATGAAGTATATATACACTTCCGACGACAATGTCAGTCAGATAACAGGTATATCCTTTGACTTCATATTTTGCAAAATGAATTAATCAACCAAAAACATCCAGTTGTTTCAGAGAAGAAAATGATGTGTATCGGAGCAGTCACAGGGAAACAATCCTGCCTGTTCCTAAGATCAATCTTTTATTCTTGTTTCTGTCCATCCGATTTTTAAGCGCAACTAAGACGTTGTCTGTCTATTTAATATATTTCGTTACAAAATCTTTACATTGCACATTGTGAATGGATTGCTTACATTGAATAGTTGGGGCGTTCATACAAAATGTATTTTTGAAAAGAAAACAAATGATTGTAACTCAGTGTGTTTCCACACGCAGAATCTGTTACAAATGCATATTTTGCAGCTGTAATAAAGTACGTTTGCGAATGAGTCTAGTGAATTGTCTCCCTAAGATAATGAAAATGGCTTTTAGGCTGAGACACTGGGACGCGTGTGTGTGACAGCCACTTGTCTTAAGATAGAGGTTAGAAGTGAATGAACATTTCAGTGACGTTTTTTCTCTCATAATTCATTCATGGCATATTGAAAGTACCTTTATTTGAAACCCAACGATGCGACAGTCGGGCGGACTTTATAACCTTCACATCAAAGGGTGTTAGGAGATCAAACAAACAAGTGCAGGGAATGATAAGGTCCCGGAAAAACTCCTATTATGAACTGCTGCTGTGTTTAAACATTGTCCAGGTTCCTCGGTGTTGCAGGGGACCAGGACAGGTTGTGTATCAAGGCGTGACACCGAGGAGCAGCCTGCGAACACTATACACACACATATATATACACACGCACACACACATACATATACCATACACATATACCCACTTACATACACACACATACAGACATATACACATACATATACACACATATTCACACAGACACACATATACACACATATATATATACACACATATACACAATTACACACATACACCAACATATACACATAAACATACACATATACACACATATATACATATATACACACACATACACACATATGTACACACATATACATATATATATATACACAGACACACATATACACACATATTCACATATATATATATATATATAAATATATACACATACACACATATACACACAGACACATATACACACATACACACACATACATATCCATACATACACACGCATATATATATATATGTATATATATATATATATATATACACGCACATACACACATACACATACATATACACACATACATACACACACATATACACACATACTAGTCCGGACTAGTACAAGCATCCACACACACACACACGTGCATTCACGTCTCCATATAAGTGCAATAATCCTGGACGCGACGTTAAACCCCATTCACCTCACCATATATAGACACACATATATACACACTTATACACACACAATACAGTGATTGACTTCATGAGCATCGATCTACGCAATTGGGCACAGGTTAACTTTCAACATCCAGTAAAAACAAAACGAAGTTATTGATGCGCCTGGCTACTAATTACACATGTACAAAACCGATTATACTTGTGACGAAAATGGCTGAGTAGAGGCCATAAATATTTTTTTTAATATGGCTGCCGTAGCCAATCGTCAAAGCTACGTCAATATCGTCAGATTTACTATTACCCGTCTGTTATTGATACAGTTTCATGAGCAGCTTTACGCTTGTACAGTTTTATGCGAAAAGTATCATATTTATAAACTATCCAGCTGTGATGGCTGCGCTTAACTACAAAAAGAAACGAAAAGAGGATAAACTTCAAATGATGGCATTAGCTCTTGGAAGGGGGACTATGCTCCCCTCTGAATGCAAATCAAAGAATATTTTTTTGTATTGCAGAGTTGCATACTGCATCTGTAATTAGTTTTCGTCAAATTCACCAGTTACTGAATGCATCGGATCTATTTCAACGGGGCTAAATATTTGAAAACGTTGGCTGTCAGTATTCAGACTATTCTCGTATCATGATTGATTACAACACATGCAGATAAATTCATTCTTGTTGAATAAAGATGTAAAAGAGCTATTCCAACGCTCA